TATCTCTTTGGTAGTTCTCTTTTTCTCTGATGCTTGTAGGGTTTTCTCAGGTATAAACTGATAATGATACCTACTTTTCCCAATTAACATGGCTCTCTTATAAATCAACATGATGCACATGGAAATACTTTTTAAACTGTTAAAGGCTCTACAGATTCAGCTTATGTAATAGAGCAGTACATCAGAGGTTTCAACTGGAGCACCAGATACAATAGAGGTGGTAAAGCAAGAGAGGTGCTGATTCCATACACAAATTTATGAATCTAAAAACTAGAGATAGAATTTTAAAAATAAACTTTATTATTTTGGAGAAATTTTAGGCTTGCTGCAAAACTGAGTGGAAAGTACAAAGTTTCCATACACCTCTGACCAACACACAATACAGTTTTCGAAATTTGTCACCTACATTGTATATGTAAAGAGTGGTGTGTTGGAGACTGAGTGGAGATCATTTGGGTCTCCACTAGTTTGGAGTAGTTTGGAGCCAGTAGTTTGGAGTCACTTGTTAGTATGAGTAAACTAAGGGTTCTCCTAACTAGTTTCATGAACTGTATTTCTATCTAGTGTCAAAATGACCCAGAATTTTCTTTAAATCTTCAGTCGCGCTTTGGGAATTTCATATTAATTTAGAAAGCCATCCTAATAAACATCCACTGCCCTACTGCCTAGGAAATCACCTACAGTTAATCAGATACAGCCATCGTTTAAAGCTGGCATTATCATCTCATGGACAGATGAGCTTTTTCCTTCATAATCTGTTAAAAGTAAGTAAAAAAACGTGCTTTTTTCTCTTTCTTACTGAAAAGGATATCCTATTTAAAGTAGTTTGTGTAGAAGGTCAGTGTAAACAAATGTGATATAATCTGTAAATTGTGTAATGTTGCCATAAAGTTAAGATTTAAGCTTTGAATAAACAGACATAGTAAAGATGGTATATGTGTGTGACCACAAAAATGAATGGAGTGTGACCAAAAAAATAAAGGACTCTGTTAATTGGGTACCCTTTACTCTACTCCATTTCTAGACTCAGTGCCTCAAGGCAGGGACTATGGCTTTTCCACCTTTGTGCTTTAGCATAGTGCCTGATGCATAGGAGATGTTTATACCTGTGCGGTGGAATAAATGAATAACTGAACAAATGGCATCACAGTCACTGTTTTCCTTAACCTATCTGTAATCTTAGAGTAGGAATGAACTTTGCAGTCATCCAATCTAAATTCCCTCCTGATAAAAAAACTTGCTCTTATAATATATACTTGGTGTTTGGTCATCTGTCTTCTGCTAGACGACCTTTAGTAATGGAGGAACAATTGCTTTTCCAGTTAGGTAGCTCTCTTCATTGTATGGCACTCTAACTGAAGAGAGTTATTTGACCTAAAATCTGTCTTCACCCATAAATTGTAGCTCTGCTCTCTGAAAATAAAACAAAATCCTAGGAATCTTCCATCTGTCATCCCTTCATATGTTTAAAGCAGTTAAAATGATTCACTTCCTAGGTCTTCCTTTCTCTACTAAATTCATGGCTTTCAAATGTAAGAAAGGCAGAAAGTATCTCCTTCCCTCAATGAAATTCACCTTTCTATGAACAGCTTCAGAGTCACAAGTGGTAGAGGAAGAGTATGAAAGAAAAATCATTATTAGAATCAGGATGTATTGGGAAGCAAGACCAGCAGCTACTGTTTGAACTTGGATAGGACTTGTGTGGACTGGCTAAGACTGATTGAAAATATTCTCAAGAAGAAGCCTGAACTGTAGAAAGGTAAAAGGGGCAATGCAGATAGGTACCTCTCCATGGAACAGTGATGGTGTTAAGCTTGGAGAGTCAAGAGGTGTGGTTAGAAATGACAATTCAGAGAGAGCAAGTGTGGTAGCCACCGGTCAGGAGCTGAGAACACAGGATTGTTCATGATGGGGCTTGCTGAGCTCTTGAGCCTTGATGCCCAGTGGTATTTCTCTTCTCATAAAGCAGCTCCAGGCAGTTCCAGTACAAGCAGGGTTATAACGGGGCTCAGAGAGGCAAGTGGCCCTTGCAGGGCTCACGCCGAGGACTCTAACTTCATTAGTATTATGCCTCCAACAAGCCAGTAGAGCCAACTAGTCACTGAAAAACTGTCATAATCCACGAGAGCCTCCTCTGTAATTTCATGATTTCCTATTTTCCAGGTGTACCGATGCTCTTCTGTTTTCTCCTCGCTGAAGGAAAACACCTGTGTGTCACTGTCCATTTCCCAAATCTCCATTCCCACTTTAGGAAATGTAGTCTAATAAATTTGGTTCTTTTCGGGAAAAGCCTGCAGAGTAAGGCTCTACTCTCTCTCCATAGTAGTAAGAAAACAAATGTAACTTAATATGGATGTTTCAGTTAGAATGTAACTCTGGTTCCCCAGATTTAATTCTCAGTTTGGTTCCTTTCTCACTGTGGACCCAAGTGAAGTCAATTGACCTCTCCATTTCTCATATGGCTTCAATGATACATTTATGCAGGTAGCTTGATATTCCCAGATGGAAAATGGCATGCCTGCATAAGTACCAATGCTTCTGTAAAATAACTGAAAAAACATAGCACAGTCCTGATCTGCACTCTCTTGCCTAATTCTGTAGGTCTCTCGATGCAACTCTTCTGCCCCTCACATTTTATTAGCGCTAGATAAAATACTCATTCTTTATAAAGCACTGACAAAGGATCTACTATAGAGTATGACAGAGCTGCTAAATTCTGTTTATCTTTCCCCAATGAGGTTTTTAGGCCATTTTCTTCTTAAGCAAAGAACAAATAACCCACTGCCCTGAAGATCTTTCTTTTTTCTTTCCACGATTCTTGATAACGCTTCTAAGTGGTCAAATGGATAATATATCAATTTCATTCTGTAGAAAACCAGGGAGATACATTTATGTGTAGAAACAACCACTGAAACAACAGTGGCATTTCACACACAAAAACAAGTTCAAGGCTGGCCAAATCCCTTGCAGAGCCATAGCGATACAAATAGAGTGTATAACAGTAACATTCAGACTTAGTAAAGAAACTGATGAATCCATGAAAGTGATCTAAAATAATTATGAATTTACAAATACGGCAGCCATTAGTCATTTGCCCATCCAATGTCCATCTCATCTTCTCTCCTTACTTGCAGAAGTATGATTTTCATTGGAGAAGCAATAGACCGAAACCCTCGGATAAACTGGCCTAAGCCAATTATGGCTATCCTGTTTCCCCTTTGGGAAACACTTGCTTTTCAAGCTTCCTTTGTAATTATTAGTGGGTCTATGACAAAGTTATAAACAATGTGATGTAAGGGGAAGACTGAAAAGAGGCTTCTAAAAATTATCAATATTATTACTTCCTTTTACAAATAAAAAAGACAGGCATGGATGTTCCCCGTTGTCCTGCCCTGCCTGCAGACTCAATACCACGATACCTGGTTCTGTGACATGAAGGATGGTGGATAGGAAAGGTACAAACAACCCAGTCAATGCTTAAGACAACACTTAAGTCCTCATGGAGTAAGCCGCTGATGAAAGAGTGTTCTATCACTGCCGGTGAACAGAATTGTTAACCAGTAAACAAAGCAGCCCTGTTTTAAAACATGATACATTTAACTACAACTTAAAATGAAATAATAGAGTATATAATACACTTTCTTTGAAAAATCTAATCTTTTCCTTTATGTTTTATAAATGTATTTAGGCTGTGATTTTTGTCAAATGTCCTTTGTAGTCCCAATAAATACTTCTCTTGTAATTGTTTTAACGCTATCATTCTGAACAATGAATAAAATTCTATGTAGCACAACCAAATTCCAATTAAACAGATTAATGACCACGTGTCAGTATTGACTGACAGACTTTGGAAAACTTTATCGTATTTTCCATATGAAGTAAATAACAATATGTACCTCATTGCCATAATCATACATATAAAGAAACTAGAACACTATTCAAACAACATAACAATTAAATGGGATATTTAGGTAAACTGCTTTAGATCTTGGTTTCTGGTAAACATTCAATAATAGCTATTAATAATACTCATTCCTCATGATATATATAAATATATATATTTATATACACACACATACATATACACACAATAAACCAAAGTATTTGGTTTTATTGGTTTATTCCTTTGGGAATAAGGAAATAAAGAATTCAACACATTTTTAAAAATATATATGCATACATTTCAGAATGGCATGATCTAAATTTCCTGCTCACGGTTTTGAGATTTTTCACACTAGCATCATAGGTCAGGAGTAAGGCTGGGTATCAAAGGACAAACGGTGAGACACTACAGCACGACCAGGGTACATGCCTGGTAAGGGCCCATCTTTCCAGGGACTTCTGATGCTACTGGGTGTTCTAAAAATATGCTCTGGGGATATGCATGTGCAAGATTATTTTCTTTTTCCTCTTTCTTAAAGATTTGTAAAGTAAAATCATTATTTTAAAAAAGTCAGCTATTAATATAGTATAGAGAGTCACCAAAAAAGAAGCAGTGAAAGGCTTCCTCCACTGGGGTCCAACTGAAAATTATTAGCCTGATTGAAATGTCAATGCGTTACCAACACTGACCAACATTTATGCAGGATTCAATTTATTGAAATCACTCCAACTAATAACATATGACCAAAGAAAATTTTAGTTCTGAAATATTAAGCATATGACAAAGGTTCTCAATGTAGGAATTTCTACACTTGAAATAACATAAAACAGTGAATAGTGAACATAACATAGTGACCAGCTGTTGGCTACAGCTGCCTGCAGCTCAGCTGGATAGCATTTTACTCATTTCATACACAGTTTTATATTTATATATAGTGTTTTATCTATTTCAATAGGCAACTTTATATTTCTTCACTTTTTGTGAACTCTTTATTAAATGTTTATATAATTGTAATATAGCAAAAATGAACTGTTTTCCAATCCACAAGAACATATTTATTGTTTTTGTTTGTTTTTCTAATGAGAAGTTCCCTTGGTTTACTAATAACTGTCTATAGTTCTTCAGAAACAAACACTTCCATCTATGATTGTGACTCGAATGACTGCTGGCTGATTACTCTCACTCAAGGATGTTGGCATTACACCTCAGAGGCCCCCAGTTACTTCTAGAACCCCCAGGTGAGTGTTCCCCACACGTGACCACTACCGAGTTTGCCAGCTCCGGCTGTTCTGTTTGACATTCTTCCTCCGGCTGCTGCTTTGCCTACGCAGCTTGACCAAGAGCCAACTGAGGGGCCTCCCTGGGGTCAGCACCAATAATCACTACACAGATGTCCCAGCAAAGAGGGAGGGGCATAGCCAGATAAAGAATGGGATGCCAATTTGAATCTCAGATTTAAAAAATTAATATAGTTATGTTCCATGCAATGTTTGGGACATACTTATACATGAACAAAATATTCATTGTCTATCTGAAATCAAATTTACGTGAACACCCTGTATATTTGTGTGCTAATCTGGCAGTCCTACCCAGCATCTTCCAGGTGCCAGAATGATGCTGGGCTCCGTTCTCGTTCCCAAGCCTGCCTGGCTCTGGCTTTTGCCCTGATTCTCACACAGACTCTGATGAAAAACCTCTTTTGTCCACTCTTTGCTCTCACTCTCCCCTGAACCATGGGGCTCAAGCCAAGTCCAAGGAGCCATTCTGTCCATTCTCCTTTTCTCTCATCTACAGTTTTATTACATATGTGACTTTATTATGTACGTAAGAGTAGGTTTTGATATTAAGGGAAGTAAGTAGACTCCTGGTCAACAATTAATCTCTAACAAATATTAAGTTTAGGAACAGTTATACATTTAGAGTATACTTCTTAATAAATTTCCTCACATAAATTGTTCCTAATCTATAAACCAATTTTAAATAAAGTCCATCATGTCAGGCATTTGTACAACTTGCTCTATTTATTTCACCATTTATCATCAGAAACCTTTTAGCTTTAATGCTATTCCACGGCAGAGTATCTTATTAGAGTGGCAAAGATAAAGTTCTTTTTGAGATAAAGTAATTACAGTGATTGTAGGGGGAAAAAAATCATCCACAGTTCATGGCTGCGGTAATCTCTTGGCTTCTGATTCATTTTAAGACTAATAAACTGGGTGCAAACAAAAAGATGTTAATAGCGGATAACTCAGGTTACCTAGAGTTTGTGCTGGAGGTATTAACAGTTTGTAACTTAATCAGAACTGAAGTGCCCTAGAGGTGTAAGTTTACAATGTGAGTTCAGCAGTTGTTTCAATGTGTTTTTGGTAGAAAATCAAAAGTTTTCTTCACTTGAAGAAATGACAATAAGAGCTAATGGTTTCCAGATGTTTATTATGTGCCAGGCACTGTTCTAAATACTTTAATGAGTTAAGTCATTTAACCCTCACAGCTTTAATGAAATTTTTACTTCCAACTGATGACAAGGAAACTGAGACATAAAGAAGTTAAGCAACCTGCCCCAAGTCACACAGCCAGTAAGTGACAGAACCAGAATTCAAATGCAGAACATCTGATGGACAAAAGGACCACAGAGTCCGTTCTCTCCAGGTCTTTGTTCCCAGGCAATTCAGAGCCCCATACAGTATTCCAAGGCAGAACACTATGTTCTGTGTGTTCTCTCATCTCACTTCTACATCCTTTCTATCTTGTAATTATTTTTAGAGTCAATAAATCATTTTACTCATAAACATCCTTACCATATTTTAAGCCTGTTTCCTTTTAGAAAAAGTAGTTTCTTCCTATCACAGAAGTTTTGTTTTCCACAGGAGGTACAACCCATCTAGACTGTGGGCAACGGCTGGAGCGCGACGGGAGAAGGGACAGGACATGTCATCCCAGCGTAGGAGAGAACACCGCTGGGACTCAGTGAGCAGAAGCCTGCAGGGCTCAGGAGGAGGAACCCTCTTAAGGTGATTCCCTGGGACAGAATCCTCATCAACATCACATCTACCTAAATTTCACCAGCCCAGGCCAATTTTTTAACAGGTTACACAGTCTCTGGTAGTCTTGTGTTTATATACGTTGGTGCTGGGAAATCTTTGAGAGCTTGAGCTAAGAGCTTTCTTCCTCACCAGAAGGCTCGCTCTTCACCCCACACACTTATAATTTAACAACAGGACAGACAGTAGAAGGGACCATGCCTATTGACATTCTAACCTTGAATTTGGCAGGATTCCAGGAGAAAGGGAGAGGGGAACGAAGCTTTAAGTCTCTCAGTGCTGTTTCTTTTTCCAATATGAATTCCTTCTTTAATGTCTAGTTATTCTAAAAACAGTGTATAGTCTACGCATCTTGGAAAACCTTATTTTTTCTGCCCACTTTTCTGAATTAAAAAAAAAAGGCTCTGAGCATATGATTTACACATCATTTGATTTTCCACACTGAGGGAAACAGTGATGACATAGGTTATTTAAAATCATTCACTTTATTATTCAAGAAGACAATCAGAAATGTACACACATGGGTAAAGCCACCTCCCTCTGTGGTCAACCCCGTGTCATTTCTGTGTGGACCTACGTGGACCATCTTTGAATAGGCAGTTGAAAACTGGCTGCCTGCCATGTTTTTCCAATCAGTTGTTGTTCAGTGTTTTCCAGTGAGTGTTCATTTTTCTAAAGACTATTTCAGTTAGTGGAAACCCTGGTCAAGGTCACCATGAATTAAAGAAGATCTTGGAGACAGAAGAAAACCTGTTGTTTTCTGTAAGCTAATTCTCAACTTATTCTCAAGGTCAGGCCCAAACTTCAGACCTCAGTTTCCCCATCCTTAACACTGTGACAGAAATTGCTGTCCTTCTTTCTTGCCAATTTATTACGAGTTTCACATTAAATATGAAACATTTCAACAATTCAACCTTACAGCATCACGTATGAGAGGCGGCTCATTCTCTCGCATGTAAAACTTAAATAGTGCTGAGGAAATGTTGGAATTATGAATAAATCCCCAACGACAGCAAAAAAAAATTAGGAGACTACCATTAAGACTCATGAAGGGCATGGGGCTTATTGCAGACAGATTTCTTCTAACCAGAAAAAATAAAATTATGATTTAAAAAAATAAACCAGGTGGGTAAGTAGGTTCCAATTTTCCTCACTGTGTATTCAGAAGCCCCTTGCAGAAGCCCAGGTAAACCACAATCTGTTCCCTACAACTAGTCATCTACGCATGATCCTATTTCTTTTTTCTTTTTTTTCCTGACCAGAGGAAATTGTGTACGTTGTAGATCTTTATAGATTTTGGGCAAATGAAACCTATCAGTTTTCTATTCTCTGCTTAGAAACCCGTCCTCTTAGCAAAGTCCCACACCTGCTCCATCATTTCTAAGACTAAACTTGCAGACCAACTGCCGGTGTGATCAGTCAGCTGCCCAAAGAGATATTGTTTGAAGGTATTACTGAGTGTGTATCTTTTGTTATTAATAAAAAACCGAAATGCCTGGTCTATTTATTTGTTGGGTACCAGTTATGCTACATCTAGTAACTGTACTGAAACTCTGGATTAAATAAATAATCTTCAAATCATCTTTGATTCTATTTTCTTAATCCTTAAGGGTATTTTTTCTAAGAGCATTTTTGAATGATATTTTAAATACAAGGAAAGTAGATGAATAATAGAACATTTATTAGCAGATTTGTATAGCAAGCAATCTATCCTAAAAAAGGGCCAGGGCTTTGGAGAAATACAGAAAAGACTCTTCACTTCTGGCACCAACATTTGTTAACCATGTAACTTTGAACTCATTACTTAACTTTGTGGAGTCTCTTTATTAAAAGCATTGGACAATGATATCTACTTTTCAGGTCTGTGGTGAGAATTAGAGAAAAATACAAGTACCAGAATATAAATGTAAGGAAGGAAGTCAGTAAATTGTGGCAAAACAATCATACTTACTATGATTCATATGATTACAGAATGCCAAATAGAATTTCTAAAGTTTGTGGATCTATTGAATCAATGTGTGAAAGTTCAAACGCAGATGCCATCCGCTACAGGCAACACACCACGTGAGGTGTTGGAAATAAGACAGGGACCCAAACTGACAAGTTATCTGATCTTATGAGGCTTACAGACTCTTGGAATATAGACAGATAGACAATTGCATAGAATGTAGGACAGAAGTTTAATGATAACTGAATTACATTTTTGAGTAATTCCACCATTTCCCCACGCTTTCCCCTTGACTCGGTACATCCTTCAGGTTCTTTCACAATGCTCCCTCACATCCAGTAAGGGTGATTAATTAATTAATAGGTGATTTAATTAACCTCTTTGCCTTTGACCTATCACCAGCCTCAATCCCAGTGACAAACTGTTACAGCACCAAGAAATAGTCTTAAAACATCATTTTATACATGGTCTTTCTTTGGGACGCTTTGCCTTTGCTCCTGTTGCCTACGGAATAAAATCTAAATGCTCTAGCCGTCACTGGGGCCCGATGTGCTCACGGGGGTGCTGCTCTACACTTCAACCCCTAATCACCTGTAAAAGTCTTTATCCTTCTGTGCCTCCTGGGCTGTGCTCTCAGCACTGAGCTGACCAGAATGCCCTCCGCTCCCCTATACACGTTGGCATCCACATCACATTTAGCCAAATCCTACACAACTATCACGCTAAAGCCATGAACTACTGTGCCTATGTTTTATATCAGGGGCCAGCTGGCAAATCTTTTCTCTAAAGGGCCAGAGAGTAAACATGTCCGGTGTTGTAGGCCATCCAGTCAATCTAGGGCACAAGAAAGGTACAGACAACGTGCACAGATGTGGGCGGGGCTGTGTTCAGACAGAACTTTATCACAACACTGGAATTTAAATTTCATGTCCTGTTCATGCGTCACACAATACTACTCTTCTGACGTTTCCCAACCACTTAAAGATATAAAAACCATTCTCAGGTTGTGGACTGCACAAAACAAGAAGAGGCGGCAACACATCGTGCTTTGCAACCCTGTTTTATATGCATACTGGTCCTTGATCCACAACTTTCCTTTTCATTTTTTTTATTGAGTGTCACTTACCTCAAGTGCACCATCCTTAAATGAAGAGTCCAAAAAATTTTGACATATGCATACAACCATGTTCCTATCACACAGATCGAGATATGAAACATTTCCAGGATCTTAGAAGGATCCTTCTTGGCTGCTTCTAGAAGACACCCCCAACCTCTTTTTGATTTAAAATCAGCCTCTATATTCCCTTTCAATAGGCCTGGATTAAAGAAATGCGGGCAATGGCCCTGTAGTACCTAAAATTTACAGAGCAGTATATTTTTAAATGAAACTTCAAATACCATTAACCATTACAACCACATAGAAGTCCATTTTTCAGTAATGGGTGATATCTGATCAGAAACCCCGAAAGGCAACTCTGGAAATACACATTCATTTTTCAGGGCAGCCGGCTCACGCCACATCTCCTTACCTGGGCCAAGGTGAGCGTCGCTTGTTGGCAGGTGCTGCACCGCACCCTGAGCTTTCCTGGCTGCACTCCTTGACAGGGACCTTTGCAGTACACAAAAAAGCTGTTGTAGGTTGGTCTACATGCTGGGAAAAAAAGAAAGCAGAGGAAGTAGCCAATCAATGCTGAATCCAAGTTTAGACAAATTTTAAAACTAACTCCTCAGGAACATTTTGAAACATTACTGGGATAAATATTATAACGAAGATACAATTTAATTTATTAGGTTGGCCAAAAGTGCCTTAGGTTTTTAAGTAAAAATAAAGGACACATTTTTCATTTTCATCAAGAACTTTATTGAACAATGTATTCACCCTTTTGTTCCACTACCTTCTGCCAGTTTTCAGGCAACTTCATAATTCCATCTTCCCAAAATTTTTTATCTTTTTGAGCAAAGAACTGCTCCAGGTGCCTTTTATAGTCTTCCAGGGAATTGAAATTTTTTCTATTAAGAGACTTTTGTAAAGACCTAAATAAATGGAAATCCGAAGGTGCAATGCCTGGCGTATACGGTGGACGAATCAGAACTTCCCAGCCAAGCTGTAACAGTTTTTGCCTGGTCATCAAAGAAACATGCGGTCTTGTATTATCCTGATGGAAGATTATGTGTTTTCTGCTGAATAATTCTGGACGCTTTTTGTCGAGTGCTGCTTTCAGTTGGTGTAACTGGGAGCAGTACTTGTTGGAATCAATCGTTTGGGTTCCGGAAGAAGCTCATAATAGAGGACTCCCTTCCAATCACACTATATACACATCACCTTCTTTGGATGAAGACCGGCCTTTGGCGTGGTTGGTGGTGGTTCATTTCACTTGCCCCACAATCTCTTCCATTCCATATTATTGTACAGTATCCACTTTTCATCGCCCGTCACAATTTGTTTGAAAAACGGAACATTTTCATTACGTTTAAGTAGAGAATCGCATGTGGAAATATGGTCAAGAAGATTCTTTTTGCTTAACTTATGTGGAACCCAAACATCAAAGCGATTAACATAACCAAGCTGGTGCAAATGATTTTCAATGCTTGATTTGGATATTTTGAGTCTGTCGGCTATCTCCTACGTGGTATAACGTTGACTGTTCTCAATTAATGTCTCAATTTGATTGCTATCAACTTCAACTGATCTAACCGACCGTGGAACATCGTCCAGCAAGAAATCTCCAGCACGAAACTTCGCAAACCACTTTTGACACGTTCGATCAGTCACAGCGCCTTCTCCATACACTGCAAAATCTTTTTTTGCATTTCAGTTGCGTTTTTACCTTTCTTGAAATAAAAAAGCATAATATGACAAAAATGTTGCTTTTTTCTTCCATCTTCAATACTAAAATGGCTACACAAAACTTTGCCAATTTTGATAAATCTTTTTTTAAATGCACGCTGATTTGACAGCTGTCACATACAATCTAACAATTCGAATTAAGTTAAAGACAACTAAGTGCTACTAGAGCCATCTTACGGAAAAAAACGAACAAACCTTTTGGCCAACCCCAATAGAAAATCTAGTTTTATGCTCAAAAGAGGGACAATCTTTTCTTCTTCTTGCCAACAGCCCTGTGACTTATTCAGCAAAGTAGCAGCCTGCTGCCGGAAGAGCTGGCCAAGGGTAACACAGGGAAATTAAATGCACACTTTGCTGTTGAAGTTTTTCAAAGGACAAGAGTCTAAGACCATTGGAAATTTAGGGGCCACTGCTCCTGAATTTTATTTCATGTGTCTGTACCCAGTTTTGAAGGCTCCAGAATTTTTCTCTTAAAATCTTATCTATAGGGACAAACTACTCCTTTTCTCATGATATGAATGATAATATCACAGTTTGCTGAGTTTCCAGTGAGGCTTTCCAACACAGGGTCACACGTAAAGTAAAACAAAAGCCCTGAGGGGCTTAGCACACTCAGCGATTGTGTGCAGAAATGGGTTCTTTGCATTTCATGAGTGTCCTCTACCTAGACAAATGTCATTCAAATAATACATTTTCAAGAGCAAAAGCTGCACAAAAAAATAGATAGTTAAACATCTCTGATCATTTCTCTCAAATGTCACCATACAGGAAAATATTATTCCTGTCACCATACAGGAAAAAATTAGGGGAATATTTTTGAACTGTTCCACACTTCTACATCTACAAAGAACTACCTTTATTCAGACACACTTACCAGTGAAATAACTAACTTCCAAATTTCTAAAATTACCAAATAGTTCTTTTAATCCTTACTTTACTTCTTAATGGGTGGGACTAACATGAAAGGTCACAGCATAAAGATTTGTTTAAAATTTTACTAGTATCATCAAGAACATTTAGAAATAATGAATAGTAAGTACATTTGATCATTATGAGCAAAAACTTTCAGACTTTCAAATGCATATGGTTTATTGAAAACAATTAGTACAAAAATAATGAGAGAACAAAAAAGATCCTGGTCTTATGTAGCTCCATTTGCTTTACTAATTTACAAAAAGTGCCTCTGTAGACATATTTAAGTGTCATTTGTTTAGCCATCTTTACTAATACTATAGGTGACAATACTTTGTAAAATGTAAAGCACAATAAAGATGTCAAGTTTTATAATTTTATTATTTATTGGTAATATATTTGTAATTATTAATTTCCAGAGATTAATATTTAGTTTCAGTGTGAAAAGGAAGATGAATTATAAATATATATTTGTATTGATATGAAACTATGATTTTCTGACACGTTTTTGCAGCTTTAGTGCCTTAATGTGCAAGATATTCAAGTCTATAAATATCACATTGTTATTAGCAAATATAATAATTAGATAAAATATATTCTTAAGGTTTTATGTATATCATAAATGCAACAGATAGAACCATATATTAAAGCTATAGAAATGCCATAACAACTGACAGAAAATCACAAGAACTCTGACAATTTTAATGTGTACCATGACAAGCTTAGTGAAGAAGGAAGGAGCCTTTATCATTAAAACTTGTATCAGCAATATGAACAAAGCCAATTCACAATTTTTATAACCTACTGTAAAGGTTAAACAAAAAAAGAGGGGGGAGGAAGAGAAAGGCTGGAAAAAGAAACGCTTACAAAGGGGAGTTGCGGTTGCAGAGACACTAGCATTGTTGAAAGAGCGTATTAGCAACGACTTGACGAAGCATCTCAGAAACTGCAGGAAACTAAATGACTCTTCTCTCTCCCTTAGGGCAACAGCAACATTGGCAATATTGTTTCAGCTAATGATAGAGCCAGGCAGAATATGAAGATTGGGATACACACCTCTGTGTGCCACAGCCTGCACTAAAGTCCTTGAGAAGTTAGTCAGAAAATACTGCATGCCCATGCCCTTGCCCTAGAAGCATACAAGATGACATGCAATCTATTACATAGTGCTTCCCAGAGCCAGCGCAAGCTGGGATTAATAGTCAGCCTAAGGAAGATCAAGGTCAGGCCAGTCTTGGTTACAGCACATTTCAAGCTGTTGGCTCTACTTGGTCAAGCAGTTGGGGCTTCCGGCAAATCTTGGGAGCCCCTTTTCAGGATGGCTTCCCCACCTCGTTGGCTACATCACACTATTTCAAGTTGGCAAGCTTCTCTGTGCCATGCTGAGGTCTGGACTGCAGAGGACAGGAATAAGCACAAACAACATCCTGACCATTTTCTGGGCAATGTTCCCATTAGCCTGATGGAAGGGTCTAAGATACAGACTCTTAAAAATGGAGCTGTAACTCCTAAAGGAACAAGCAAGGCAATGGGAAGAATGACCCTCAAAACTTTTCTCTATGTATATAGCTGTCTCCAGTCAATAACATGAATCTTCCCCTTCTTAAACTTCTGTTTGGAGCTTAAAATTATTTTTCTCTCCTAATCAACTCTTCCATATTGCAGCCCCTTCACTGCCCAAAATAATCAAAGCAGCTTGTGTTTGTGTTATAGATTTCCCTTTTTTTATATAAGTTTTCAAACCTAGAGAAATATTTCAAAAATCTTACAAATTATAACGTACCCTGTAATTCACTGATTGTGAACATTTTGCCATATTTTATGTGCACCCTCTGTGTGTGTGTGTGTGTGTGTGTGTACATTTACACACATATATACTTTTTTGGCTGAATGATTTTTAATTAAGTTGCAGACATGATGCTACTTCACCCCTAAATCCTCCAACACCCTAAAAAGAACTTTTTTCACCTAAAGCAAGAGTTTTTGAGTGATTTGGTTGTTTCAGCTGTTCTATTCATGGTCTGATCTGGTATATTTTAAGTATACCTTACAGAACACTACAGTGGCTTGCAAGCTGTTGAAAGGTGTCAAGCCAAAATATCGGGGAATCTTTAGTCAGACCATTTTATTTTATTATTTTAAATTTAATTTTATTTATTTTTTTATACAGCAGGTTCTTATTAGTTATCCATTTTATACATATTAGTGTATATATGTCAATCCCAATCTCCCAATTCATCACACCACCACCACCCCCCTGCCACTTCCCCCACTTGGTGTCCATACGTTTTTTCTCTACATCTGTGTAGTCAGAACATTTTAGGTGATGCCAAGTTAAGCACGTGCTCTCGCTGCAGGACTTTGCAGACTCCATGAAGACAGGAAGTATGGAGCATAGCACGTCCCTAACTTTATCAGACTTCAGAAGTCTTCCTTTTATGGAGCATCTTGTGTAAATGTATTTCTCAGAAACAATTTGGAAAAAAATTTGGAGGAAGGATACAACCCACTGTGTAGGGCTTCATCTACAGCAAGCCCAACTGCTAAAGTTTATAAACACAGATTTATTAGACACCCTGCTTACAATTAAGTTCTCCCCTCCACCCCAAGCCATCAATAAACTTACATAATTATTTTATCACGAACCAGAAGGGTTAGTCTACAATGAAATGATTTTACAGTGTATTCATTTCATTCAGACGTTCATTTTTTTTTTTTTTCCTGGATAGAAGTTAAAAACACAGCTAGTGTGCAGGGCCCTGTTAAAATGTGAGCCCCTATGTCCCTTCAAAGCATCCAAGAGGCTTCCTTAGTTTTATCATTTTATCATTATCTTTAGGTTTTCTCTCCCACTTTGTCTGATTGACATAATCCTTCCTCAAGCCTTTTCT